CAGGAATTCTAAGGCTTGGCAAGTCATAGCTACGAGGTCAGTGGGTAGATAAGTTTTTATCTCGTTGATCATGTAAACTATTATGAGCCAATTTTCCATTTCTGCAGCATAAAGCCTGTTATAACTGTAATCATTTAATCTCAGGTGTGCCTGAATGATGTGAAGAATGTTGTAATTCTAACATTTAAGAGCTTACAACTGACCAGGGCTAGGTATACAAGCAGAATTCAATCCTGCTTGGAATTATGTGAAGATACAATGACAGAGAACAGACACAAAAATGATGATGGCAAAGAGATGAAGGCAAATTTTATGGTCAGAATCTTAAAAAGCTTAATTTTTTTCACTTCTTCAAGAGTTACAGATGGATCAAGCCACCTTTTATGTACCTACATAAGGAGAAAAGAGCCTTCTGCTATCAAAAATTATTTAGCCAAAGTCCTTATCAGAACCAATGTCTGCAAGCTGAAGTAAGACAAGTACGCACTAAAGTAACATGCATATTTCTACAACAGAACTTATCAGAAGTCTTTAAAAATCAAGAGGTATAACTTTAAGATGTACCCTGCCATTCTTCCATAAGTTATTGGGCATATTGCAGGCGTTCTTTGGTAAAGATCTATGCCTTGTGTTATGTACACATACAGCATACAGCATTCAATTGATGTTTTACAAGGGAAAGTTTCAGAAAGCTAAAAACAATGAGTTTGGAAAAATCATTTACATTTTTCTGTATTAAATTCTAACTCGGAGTTTTTTTAAAACATTTACCTATCAAACACTTTTCCGTAACTGAGGAAACAAAAGGTCCCACTGGTTAAACCACCAGCATGAGTTAGTGGGAAGTAAAAGCAGCTATAAAAACAAGTCATATAACAGGGTCAAACTCACCTGGCCCTGTGTGCTAGAGAAGTAGTATGTGGGTGGTCTGTGGACCAGATCAGGGCCACAGACCACCCCCCAGTCCCACCAGATCCAGTGCATGCAGCACCCACTCAGGCTGGTCTGGGATCCACACTACACATAGCGCCAGGCCAGCCAGAATGCTGCAGAATGTGCAGCTTCCACCCCAGCCAGTCTAGGATGTGCACTGTACATGGTGCTCTGAACCAGCTGGAGTAGGCACCACACGTGGTGCAGTCCTGAAGCAGCTGGGCTGGGGCACAGGGGCATGCAGTGCAGTTCGCAGAAAGGGCACCACAAGCAGCACAGTCCAGATGGGGCAGGCACTGCATACAGCACGGATCCCTGATCTACCAAAGTACAGGCTGCATGTGAAACGTGTCTCGGACCCTGCCCCTGGAGCTGATCCAGAGCATGTCATACATGGATTGACTCAGATCCAGGGGCAACAACAGAGGCTGGACAATGGAGCTCCACAGGCTGGGATCCAACTCATGGACCATATCTTTGACACCTCTGTTAGACACTAAAGGAAGAAAGAGGAAGTAGGTGATCACTGATAATGAATATAAAATAAGAGCCAGGAACTGTATAAAATAAGGGAAGAAAAAACACACAATGAGAAATCTACAGTCAAAGAGAAATGCAACAAAGAGCTTGTTTGTTGGTTTAAAAGAGGTTTATTGGCCCATTGCCTGACCAACTTGATTGCCTTCATCATATGATGAGGTGACTGGCTCTGTGGATGTGGGGAGAGCAATGGACATGATATACCTTGACTTTAGCAAAAGAAATCCTTTTGCCTCTAGACCAATAAGGCTACAACCTGGATACCTGACTTTAGCAAGGCTTTTGATACCGTCTCCCATAACATTCGCACAGGCAACTGAGGAAGTACAGGTTGAATGAATGGATTGTAAAGGAGATAGAAAACTGGCTGGATTGTCGGGCTCCGAGGGTAGCAATCAATGGCTCGATGTCTAGCTGGCAACTGGTATCAAGTGGAGTGCCCCATGGGTCAGTTTTGGGGCCTGTCTTTTTTCCAATATCTTCATCAAGGTCCTGGAGGATGGGATAGAGTGCACCTTCATCAAGTTTGTGGATGACACCAAGCTGGGGTGAGTAATAGATACACTGGAGGGTACAGCTAGAATTCAGAGAGACCTCAACAAATTGGAGGATTAGACCAAAAGAAATCTCATGAGGTTCAACAATGACAAGTGCAAAGTCCTGCACTTAGGACGGAGCAATCTCATGCACTGATACAGGCAGGGGGCTGACTGGGTAAGTAGCAGCTCTACAGAAAAGGACCTGGGGGTGACAGTGGACAAGAAGCTGAACAGGAGCCAGCAGTGTGCCCTTGTCACCCAGAAGGCTAACAGCATACTAGGCTGCATTAGTAGGAGCGTTGCCAGAGGATCAAGGGAACTGATTCTTCTTTTATTTGGCACTGGTGACACCACATCTGGACTCGTGTCCAGTTTTGGGCCCCCCACTACAGAAAGGATGTGGACAAATTGAGGACTCCAGCAGAGGGCAACAAAAAATGGTTAGGAGCTGGAGCACATGACTTCTGAGGAGAGGCTGAGGGAACTGGGTTTATGTAGTCTGGAGAAGACAAGACTGAGGGGATTTAATAACAGCCTTCAACTCCCTGCAGGGGGGCTGCAAAGAGGATGGAGCTGGAGTGTTGTCAGTGGTGGCAGATGACATAACAAGAAGCAATAGGCTCAAGCTGCAGCAAGGGAAATTTAGGTTAGATATTAGGACAAACTTTCTCACAAGGAAACAGGTTACCCAGAGAGGCAGAGGAGTCTCCATCCTTGGAGGTCTTTAAGACACAGCTAGACAAAGCCTTGGCTGGGATATAGTCGAGGATGGTCCTGCTTTGAGCAGAGGGTTGAACTAGATGACCTTTCGAGGTCCCTTACGATCCAAGTTGTCTTATTATCCTACTAGATGGAAATAGTAACATTTTCAATTATAATACAGAAAATCAGAATCATTCATTCATATTTTTGTTCCATATTTGGGGAAAATACCTGATTATGTATCCAGGTTATCAAATGATGGTGAAATGCTTCATTTCCACAGTAAAGCCAGACACTTTCACATCAGCACGTCTACATAATTTGCACTTGGTTTTAAAAGAGGTGATGAAGGAGCCCTTTGGACTATTAAATGTTGATATTCAATAAGTATGGAGAACTGGGAAAGTTTTAGAAGACCTAGCACACCTACTATTGGTCCAATAGTTAAAAAGTAAAAATAGTTAAAAAGATAAATCAGACCGCCTAGGTAGATGGTCCACAGTGTATTCAATGTCAACCTGATACCAATCCCAGGTAAAAGAATAACGGATTAGGACTCAACAAATTAAAGGAATACAATACAATGAAAGTCAATCAACATGTGTTGAAGTAAAAAAGATATCTTGCTAAAAAAGCTTAGTACTTTTTTCATGAAATTACCAATTTGTTTGATAAAGTGTTGGTGTACCATACTAGATAAGGTATTTTACTTGGAACTGCACAACATTTTGATAAAGAAGCTGAAATAATCTCTATTACTTGGGAAGTCAGGCACAAGCGAGCAACGTGCATGATCTAATATAAAAAGTCATGCTTCCAGGAAGAAAGAATTCTGACCATACTTACAGGATAGGAAAATGTTATCTTGGGAAGCAGCAATTCTAAAAAGGACATAGGGGTCATAGTGCATAATCATATGAAAATAAGTTTCCACTGCGACTGTGGCCAAGAGGGCTACCTTTGTTTTTGGATTCATAAACAGGATTATCAAGGAGAAACGGGCAAGTTATATTAAGAGTGTATTTGGCATCAGTATGGCCATTACTAGAATGCTGTGTTCAGGCCTGCTGTCTACAGCTGACAAAGAATTTTGGACAAAATTTAGGAAATAGTCACAAGAATGATAAAGGATTTTAAAATATGCCATACTGTGATTAAGGATAATTTGATCACAGTCTGTAAGTACCTATCCAGAGAACAGAAATTTGACAGAAGGCTTTTTGATCTAGGAAACAAAGCAGCTAGAAGGATCAGCTAGATAAAAACTAAGCTACAGCCACTGGAACAGTTTATCATGGGTTGTAATACATTTGCCATCACAAGGAAATTTTAAATTAAGGTTTAATGTTTTTGTCAAAGATGCACTCTAAGCCAATAAAGAATTAATTTGGAGTTCTCTTGACTGTGCTATATGGGAGGTCAGACTACATGGTCATAATAGTCCCTTTCAACTTCAGAAACAATATAGATATATGTATTCTGCCCTACAAAGTAAAGAAACCAGAATAACCACCAGGAAGGCTACTATAGTTAATTGAGAGTCTTAGAATTAAATATTTTCCTCACTTTAATTTTTTTAAGTTAACTGGATCAGTCTGAAGGCCATTTGGTTTACTATGAGTGAAATGATGCAAAATACAGAATCAGTAAGATATTTTAGACATCCCCTGAAGTCGTACTGAGCTACCTTTCTGTAAGATGTGACATTTGCAGGACATACTATTATTAATGTGATTTGAAGATTGTATTGGTAGTCTTTTGGAATGACTTGCATAGACCGTCAGGACTTTACTGTTTGTGCAACTGCTCAAAACCCATTTCTTGCCTGCAGACACTAACAACAAGCCTAATTTTCTTCAAAGTCAAATGTATACAGCCTCAAATCCTGTCTCATATGCTTTAAGTATGTAGAAGACTTAAAGCTTATTTGTTAATAACATCATAAATCATACAGAGATTGCAACTTTACTACACTTTTTGAATAACATTTTTTTTTCATCTCTGTGGATTGTTTGATACAGAGAGGCAAGGATTTTTGACGATATATTTTATTGGACCAATTGTATAGTTGCAAGAGATGTTAGACAAAACTGTACAGCTGTCCCAATAAAGTATATCACCACAAAATCCTTGCCTCTCATTTTCTGGATGATGACAGCTATATTACTCCATACTTGTTTGATGCAACATGTGCAACTGCATTATAGTGCATTCCCATTCTGTTTTAAGTTTCAAAAGAAAGATCCATTATCACACAAAGCTGTCAGAGAGCTCAACAGAAAACTTGCAGTATTATGAAGCCCCTTTTTCAGCTAGCGCAAGTACATTGCTAAAGACAGGTAATGAGCACTATTTCTAAATATTCGGGCAGTATTTTTTTTGTTGGACGGGTAAGGAACTTGTGTAAGCAATAGATCCAATACTTATATAAAAGTGCCCATATAAAAATGGCCAATAATTTATTCTTGAAAGTTAAGCAGTTACAAACTTACCACCACATTTCCTTACTTTTATAATTACTTTCTTACACATGATGCTTGGACAATGTTCTCCAGATATTTCCACTTTTCATTACTTGATAAAATTAAATGTTCAAACTAATTAAAGAAAAGTTGCTTAAGTCTGTCTTTTGCCAACCAGTAACAGGCATAAAAAGTTATATCCTGACAAAGGCCTTAATTTTCTGACATCTTGCCACCTAAGTGAAGTCCACAGCTTCAAAATGTAGCCGTTTATCTTGTCAAAAACATAGGAAAATAATTTTAGAGTAAGTGCATGTTCCACATGCAACGATACTGAACTAACTCAGTTGCTCAAATCAATCAGTCCTTTATTCTGATTCTGGCAAGAGTCAATACCAAATGCTTCAATATACTCCTAACCCACAGCACTACTCTGTTCTGCTAATTTTGTAATGATTGTTGGGGGCTCCTTTCCAACTGCAAGGTCACCGCATTGTGTTCTAAAGCAGGGGTCAGCAAGCTAGGGCCTGCACACCACATCTGGCCCACAAAGCCTTTGATTCTGACTCTCAAACGTGGGGCTTTAGCACAGTTTGGCAGTGGGGGTCCTTGGCAGCAGTTTTTCTTCCAATGCCGCTGTGGAGAGAAGGGACAGCTCTGGGAGCTCTCATCATCCCACCACGGAGAGAAGCACTGGTGGTGGCGGCCAGGTGCTAGAGCTGACCCTCCTCTGACTCAAGCTGGGTCATTCCAACCTGCAATCTGAAAAGGTTGCCAACTGCCATTTTTAAGTGCTGCTTGGTCTGACCAATACATATGCACGTGAATACTTCTGAGGAAAATACCCTGAAAAAGTCTATCCAGAGCAGCCAGAAAAACATCCTACTATTGAACATACAGCACTTAGCTGATTTAACTGTTAATATTTGCAACTGTAAAAGGAAAAAA